GTTTAAAATAAATTATAAAATTTTCCTTTGTAGTACAGTGACTTTATTATTTATCGATCATCGTACCTACAAGAATGAGATACGTAGTGCCACTTCTCGGAGAAAATTAGAACTATTAATTTCAATTAGATGGCAGAACTTTGCTTTTCCGTACAAGAGCAAGATTGTGCGACAAGGACAAAATTAGAGATCAGTTCCACCATTTCACCACCAGTGCTAGAGTTTCGGTTTTCGAAAATCGATTCAATTTCGAAAAAAACTCATTATTAAAAATTAGTTTTCAGAATTTTTATAATTGCAGTTTTCTTCCTATATTCCATGTGGCCTATAAAATATCTATATAAAGAAAATCTGTAAATTTTACTCAATAGATGGAAACACTCGATTTGAATCGAAATTCGAATCAAAATTCTTCTAATACGAAGTCATTGAATTACTTCTCGTTAGAATGAATTGAATACCAATAATTACGATGCGTATGCAACGTGCAAGAAAAGGAGAGGTAGCTCACAATTATCGAACACGTTCGACGATATCCGCTATCTCGACACTTTGTGTGTCGAATAGCTGTAATGGATATTCTATTGGTAAGTATGTATCAGTCTTTTTTCCTTTTTACATTGCCACATTATCCGTGTTATTTCCTATGTTGATCGCAACTCCTTATGGTTAATAACAATTGTTTTCAATTTTTAGAAAAGTACGTTTTAGAAGTAATCGTGGTCCAACATTCATCCATTTATACGAAATTTTTCTTAAGAAAAATTGTAACTTATTTTGCTCGAACGAGCAAAGCACATTATTCGTCTTATGGATTATAAGGACTGTACGCAGTGAAAGTTCATTTCGAAGGAAAATATACAGGCTGGCTCGAATTCAAATGTCAAAATGTTGGGGAGTGCGCAGAAAAATTAATAAACTGAGAACAAAAGTTCTTTAGAAATTTCCTCCATTTGAGAGAAAATCGCGAAGGAAGAAAGGAACAGGTTTTTTATTTTCTCACCTATCAACTCAAAGGAGAAACTGAGAGACCAAACCATAGTTTGATATATCGAACATTGTAAGAACAATGTCCAGGTGCAATTAGAATTATCATAAGATGATAATTCTCATTATCATAAGATGATAAAATAAATAATAACACGAGTAAGTATAAATAAGCGAGATGACGAAAACTGTTTCTTTCTTTCGCGATTCTCTTTAAAATAGGGCAATCTCCAAAGGATTTTTCTTCCTAGTTTATCAGTCCTTTACATGCTTTCAAAATTTTGATATTTAAATTTGGGAGACAACCTGTATAAAAGTGATATATACTACAAATAAATACTACTATAAATAATATTATCCAATTTAATTGAAGGAACGTACGAATTTAATTGAATACTCGATGCAGTAGTCCTACATTTATTAAAGGATAATTATAACATTGCTGTAGTGTACGGCTGGTCGAGGGGAGGGGAAACAGATAAAGGGAGAGGCAGATAGAAATGACTGGTTCACGCTCACTGATGTACCATTGAATTTCTGTGTCAGTGGTAAAGGCGTAATAGCAGGACTGGATCTATTCTTTTCAACTTTATTATAGATGCTGGAACATCGATAATTTTCTCGGGACTCGTTCGGGAGGAACGAGTTGCTGGACACGGCATTTCAATGAGAAACGAAGAGCTTAACCTACAAAAACCTAAAAAGCCTCATTTGCCGAAGTGAAGCGTGCATGTATGAATTACCGTTCCTTCGAACATGAACGAACGCTAACGAATGTTCGACCATGTCCCGTTACTAAAAACGTCGCGTCCTTACGAGGAGGCTTTAATTTATTGAAAAAATATGAATTAGAAGTATTTGCACGGAATTTTTCTTTATTGGCGGAATCTACATTACCGATAGATTCGATAATCAACAGATGAAACATTTTCACAATACGAAAATCTTTTAACTTTCGTAATATTTTTAAATGGAAGAATGAAAAAAATATATCACAATTAAAAAAATACTTATAAAACGTTAATAGTAACACTTTTTACACAGAGGTAATACCTTGTTTCTGACGGTATGCAGTTTCTGAGAAAAATCGGAACTATAGAGGTTATGACAGATTGTTTTCTGACGTTAGAACTTATGGATTATTTATCGAATCTGAATTTGTCTATTGTGTCCTTTTGTAAATAATCTTGTAAGTCAATGTCTTTCTTCCAATCTATATTCTTTAAAGTGTTTCATTTTTTTTTTATAAATTTCTTTTAGCCAAGTTTATTTCCTTTGGTCGAAATATTGCAATTAATAAAGGAAGCCGAAAGGAAGGAAAAAAAAAAGAAGAATCATTACTTCTGATGGATTAACGACAGAATTAGTTCGCCTTGTTGAAGGTCGTTCATTAGTCCCGTTACATTACTATAACCTTACGCAGTATGATGCGTTCAAAGTAGTGTTTTACATACTCTAAAATAATATCTCGATCGTGAAGTGAGTTAATAATTTCTGCTTTATATACAAGGCGTAATTATCGTGATTATATTGAGATTAGTTGAATTATATTTGATTATATGAAGATTAGTTGAATTATGTTAAGATTATGTTAAGATTAGTTGAATTATATTTGATGTACTTGTTACACGTGTAAGACGATTATTCATGCTGTATACAATTTCAGGTTGATCCGTGTCTTGATACAGTGCTAATAAAATTCAAATATCAAATTTCACGAAATACATTGGAATATTGATGCGAGTCGCAAATAAATACTGAAAATAACAAGTATTGGTATATTGAATATTGAAATGATCATTTTCAAAGATTTTGTGAATGAAATTTCATAACATACACAAATAGAGAAACTATTAAGAATGACAAATATTCATTGAAATGATCATATTCGAAGATGATGCATTTTCACAGATTTTACGAATGAAATTTTACAAAAATTTGCATTCTTTATTGTGTCTTTTCTTGAGCTTGAATGTATCATATGTTCGATGCAAGTTCTGCAGAGAACTAATTTCAACACTCCAATAGATAAAGGGTGGAATTGAAGAATGTGTTGAGAATTTCGTCGTCACGTATGTATGGTTCAATTTTTTTTTCTTTTTTTGGCAAATTGAACCGGGTCGTTCACGGTGATTAGCAAGATGCTCCTAATAAGAAGACTCCAGCATCCCGCTACTGAAACAGTTATGATGAATCGCGACCGTCTAGTTCGGAGTGCACGCAACGTGAAATGGACCTTCAAGAAGAAAAGGAAAGCCTCTGCGGATGAGCGAATGGCTCGGTACAACCGATCGACCGATGCGTTTTCATCCAATTCACTTGATCGATATCGGTTCGAACAGGATTTATTTCAAAATTCATTAACAACTTTTACCATTTTACTTTGATAAGTTTCTAATGTTTTATGCATTTCTTTTTTTTTTTTTTCAGAAACTCTTTACATTCGTCTTTTTTGACGATACAATATGAGAATGTAGTCAGAGTCACGTCTTGATAAACTAAAGAAGAAATCCAGGAAAACAAGAAATCTCGCAACGATTCCGCAAGTGGGCGGAAAAGTCCCCAATAAGAACAAAACCACGACCACAGACTTTTACGATTTGTATTTTCAAGTGTGAGGGCACATTAGGTATCCACGTAATGATTCCGCGCGAATCTCTATTTTGATAAAAATACTTATACTGAAGAAACGTGGAATCTAGCAAGGAATTCATATTATCTACTATCTGAATATTGTAACGATGACATTCCATTAACTGAATTCACAATTCAGTTAAGAGTTACGTTTTCAGAATGATTCTAGCGTAAGTTGGAAAGTTAGTTGATTAAGTTGCAAGAGAGTTCTAGTTTGAGATTCCTCGGGAACAATTCAGTCAGGCAGTCAGTTTTCAACGAGGGAAAATAAACGGTGGAGAAGTTGACGGCTCGGGGACTGTGTTCTGCGCGAGAGGATTCGAGAAAAGGCCGGTGGAATGTCGAAACTGTAAAATCTGGACGAGGAGTATTCGAAAAGTAGACCTTCGGGATCGACAGCGAGCAGACAGCGGCAGCTGTGATTGGCCCGTTCCATTGAAAATAATGCCAAAGGTGCGTGGTCATTGGCCGTTCAGCTTACCCCCCCTACGTGAATCCGCAAGCTATATAGAACACCTCGCATGGAATTTCATCTTCAGAACTGAGAGTCAGTGTCAAGGAAGTCCACCTGGAACTAACGAAGTGAGTACCATTGCAATTTGTCCTAACACTTGTTTTGTCAATACTTATCTATGTTCTAGCGCCTGTCTCACGTTGTTTTTCACCTGCAACGATACTCAAATTTTCGAAAGTTCTTCTTTATCAACGATCTCGTTCCAGCATTTTCTTCTCCAGTTGCAATTGCCACAGATCGTTTTGCTTTCGTACTTGTACCGATTGGATTCAAGAGAACGTAACTTCGAAAGCTGAGTTCGGTTGCTCTTCGGGTTGAAAAAATTTTAAGCCCCAAATTTTAAGTTCTAACTTCATGCTTTGTCGCGAAATGCTCGACGGATGGAGATCGAACACGAAAGATTAGTTATTAGTTATTAGAAATAATATCGCGAGACGAAGGAACGATAGCAAAATACCTCTCACAGATACCGGCTACAGTTAGAAATCGTTCGCGATTTTTTCCGCCGCCGCGGGTACCGTTTTCGAGAGGCGTGGCTTCACGCAACTCGTCTTCTCTATTTGCTTTCGAAAACTATTCCCTGGAACTCCTCCAGTTCGTTTTAAAAAAATAATGTTTCTTCTCAAGAAAATACTGTTTAAACTTCTCTCGTTGATTTCATATGCGAGTAATATACACTGGAAGAATATTCCAAAATCTTTAATTTCTTCGAACGAAATTTACATCAGAAATTCATTCAATTAGTTTCTTTTTTCTTTTTTTTTTTGTCTTTTCGCCTGAAAAGACTGGATTTCCTTTTGCTCGACAATCTCGACAGTTTCTTCTTCTTTTAGTCCCCCTCCCCTCTTTTTTCTGTTACTTTGTCTAGTTCGTTCAGTGCAGCGGAGAAGAAGGAAGACCGCGACAGTAGGTCGCGACCGCGTTTTCAGGTAACGGTACCTGCCGGGTTCAACAAACCGGTAGCTTCGATCGAGAAGTGGGCTACCTGGTGCTGCCAGGGTGACCTTAACCGCTCTGACACACTTTCCTGTCACTCGTCGGCGTCGTTCCTCCGCTCTGCGCCGGTACCATTCCGCTTTATTCGTTCCGTGTGCCGCGCGATCGCACTCCGAGACTCGAGAGATCAAGGTTGTTGATTACCGAACGACCTAGGTAAATCTGGCCTCCCACATCGAGATTACGGAATCATTTCTCTTCCTGTACTTCACTCAGAAAACTGAAAACGATTCAATTGCCACTGAATTATATTAAGGAATTAGTTTCTCATCGTGATAGGATCACGCACGTAAATTCGTGGAAGATTTAAGTAAGGATTATCTTCACACATAGTGAGGAGCATAATTGTAACAATAGCGATTAAAAATTGTCGATAATTTAAATTGCAACAAGCGTGAAACGCGAAGCTCTACTTTCATTTAGTCACGATTTTCCCGTATAGTAGGGACATTTTTTTTTTTCTCCTCGAGAATTGTGAAATATTAAAAAGAATTTTTTTCACGTGATCTTGAAGATTGAGATCTCTTCTTTGCGATTTGCTGCTACAATTTTGTTTCATCTCGACATTTCACTGAACTTTAGAAATTCAAGAAATTCTAGATGTTCACATTTAATTTTGATATTCAGAGTTTAATAAAATGGTAGAAAAAAATTGTGCAGCACAGTTTTACCCAGGTCATTGCAACCGAAAAGATTTCAAAAGACTTCAATTTCCAAGATCATGATTAGAAAAGATTTTTTCAACGTTTTTGCAAACGCGTGAATTTTTACAATTTTCTTCTGAAGATAAGTACCTTCATTTTTCTACTCGCTGTGGGATGTTAAAATACAAGAACAAACTCAGGACTGTCAAGGAGGCTTCACGTTTTAAAAATGAGATCAAGTGAACTGTTGTATGATTTTTTTATCACAATAATTCAAACTTATGCTCTCTTCACTTCATAAAATATCCAAAGCATTTCTTCACATTTAGAAAATGAAACTATTGAGCTATTCACAGTCAAAGATTACTTGTTTGTTGATATCTTTCCATTTTCTTTTATAAGTTTCTTTTATAAGTATTCTAAAAATCGAAAGAGTTTGTAGTTTAATCCTGCTGTCTGTATTACTTGAATGGATATTACAGCAAACATTATACATTTCAACAAATGTACATAGTTTTCAAACATTTGGTTTCAATTATTCAATGTATAGTCTTACAGTCTTTTGTATGTTCCATGCTCTTTATAAATAAAGTACTGCAAAGAAAGAAAGATAACAGTAGGCACTGAACTTGTGCTGAAAAAATGTACAGAGTTAAAAAGAAGAGAGAAAAATAGAAAACAGGAACATGAATGTGGAACGGAAGCTGGTGCATACTTGGAACATGATTCGAGATCATGGATTTAAATCCTTTCTTGAATTTGATTGCTTATCCTCGTTTTCTCTTTTGAGTCATGCAAATGATATTTCACATTATGAGAGATCTTTCACATAATCTTCTTTCAATTAATCATCGATATTGGTAATTTTCCTTTCAGAATGAAATACAATCAGTACGTGTCGCTATGCTTGGTGGCGCTTGTTCTTGGACAAGCAGCGTCATTGCCACAACATTCTCAGTATCCGCAGCAGTTCCAGCAGCAGGTCAGGGACGAGAGGAAATTTGCGGAGAAACCAAACGCCATGAAGAAGGTCGCCCTCGATGATCTGGACGACATCAGCACCAATCAGATTCAAGTAAATCCAGTCAGAGATATTTTCCTGTATTATAAAAGAAAAAAAAACATCTTGACACGGAAAGATGCAAAACATGTGTTCTATCTTATCAAAAAAACTAACCATTTAATAAAAGTTTTATTACCTTCATTTATCTATTATCAAAACTTTTATTTAATAAAAGTATTAAACTCCTATTATTCTATAACTAATTAACTATTATCAAAACTTTTATTTAATAGAAATATTAAACTCCTATTATCCTATACCTAATTAACTATTATCAAAACTTTTATTTAATAAAAGTATTAAACTCCTATTATCCTATACCTAATTAACTATTATTAAAACTTTTATTTAATAAAAGTATTAAGCTCCTATTATCCAAAATACCTAACTATTAAACTGACTGTTATCAAAACTCCTATTATCAAAGAAACTAACCACTTAATAAAAGTTTTATTACCTTCATTTAACTATTATCAAAACTTTTATTTAATAAAAGTATTAAACTCCTATTATCCAAAATACCTAACTATTAAACTGACTGTTATCAAAATGCCTATCATCAAAGAAACTAACGAGCTAACTATTATCAAAGCACTATTTATTCATTCATGATGGAGCTTATTCAGTTTTTAGACTGAAATATGAAGAAAACTATATAAATTGATTGATATTAAGCTTTTATTTTCTTAACTCTAGACTAAACTGTATTGTTCTCTACTAAACTGTATCTCCATTTTGTTCTATTAGGAAGGTAGCAGTACCGGGTTCTCGTGGTCAAACATGCTGAGTATGCTGATGCAGATGCTGTTAGGGCAAACAGGCGGTGCAACTGGCCCAAGCAAGAACGAGATCGACGACGGTGCACCAGCCAGCCCTTGGGCAAACTTGCTATCAGTCGGGTTGAGAGTGCTCACCGCTCTTCTAGGTGGGCCCCAGCAATCGGTCGACGGTATCGACAAAGTTGACAACCAGAGTAGCCCCATGCAGGTACGCTCGCCAACAACACACTCGCCCCCTCCCATTTTTTCGTGATTACGGTCATTTCTGCTTCAACGTGAGATCTCGTCAGCTACCTGAGGATCAAACGTTGCCAATTCTTTAGGTTTACCTCGACGCAGCAATTTCTTGTATAATCTTCTTAATATAATCTAATGTATTTGATATTGAATTGACTTGGGATTGGGAAGAAAAAACAAGTGTTAGAAAGCAATCGGAGGATCACTTGAAACGGTTTTCCGCGCAACAGGAACAGCGAGTTTCCGAGACTTTCATCTTGATTCGGGTCGCGTAACGAAAGCAAGCGCAAGCCGAACTGACTGTACCGCGAGAACAACCGATTTGGGTCAAACGCATCACGTAAGACTCAAACTGAATTATTCCATGGTAATGGCCAGGCAACGAAGCGCAACCAGCTTGTTATCGCTTTCCATAGAATTTTCCTTCGGATTCAGGCAGAGTTTTCGCCATACTTTTCGCTCGTCTGTCCAATACTATGGAATCGTTCGATCGATCTCATCTCTTCGCAGATGTGTCGAATCTCTTCTCTTCTTTCAAACACGGCACGCTGTACATTTGACATAGCTAAGTTAGAATTAGTGGCACATCTACGCTGTAGACTGTACATCTGGCTGAGCATGAAAACGCAGTGAGAATCGGTTCATCTTTTAAGAAAAAAAAAAAAAAAAAAAAAAAAAAAAAAGCGTACGTACGTACTCGTTTAGAATTCGAGGAAGAGGAAGAGGAAGAGATTGCACTGTGTAAAGTAAACGTTTGTTTCTTGTTCATGTTTCTTTTTTTTTCTTTTTTTTTTCTTTTTTCTTCTTCTTCTTCGAAATAGAAATCACGAAAACGACGTACGTATGTTCGTCGACACGAGCTGTTACTTCCGTTAACGAGCTCCGCTGTCTCTTTTCGCAATTAGAGAACACTGGACACGTTAACGATCTTCACGTTTTCTAAACGATGTAATCCCCCTTCGATCTTGGTTTCGATTTTTGAGTACTTGTTTCACTCTCGCGTCCGACGAGACACCACGTCATGTTCTTCTCTATCGTTAACACGTTCCGTGCCAAGCCATTTTGGCTAAAGATTGATATATTATCACTCAATCTTTCATTACATCATCAATCGATAAGTAGTTCTCTTGTTTAGAGTGAGCTATCACATCGTGTACCACTTGTGGTACACGTGGCTTGAAGATCAAGTTT